CCCCTTCGGTGCAGAAGCTAGGTCACGGGATACTCTGACTAGAGGACACCACTGCCTTCTCTGAAGCCATGGGTCTCACACGTGGCCCTTCCAACTGGCCGGGCTGCAGGTGAACCCAAGCTGTGAGGCCTGAGTGGGCGCTGCCTGGGGGCTCTGGCTGTCCCTGAACTCAGGCCAGGAGCCTGTCTGGTTGGCTGCTTTGAGCCCCCTGCCCTCACCCACTGGCAACAGAGCTGCCGAAATTTCTTCTCACCCCAGATCAGCAAGAAAGCCCCAAGTGGTGGCTTTCGTCCTACTCACCTTGGAGCTGGCGGCCCTTGTACAGGTCCCTCGCTTTGGTGGGGTGCGCCCTGGCTGTGTTGTCACATTTCGGCTGCTCATACCTACAAGGAGGGGAAGGAAAGAGAAGACCTGGGTTAAGACTTAGAAATGGGTGTTTTCCTCCATTTCTCGCCCGGCCACACAGCGGGAGAGCACACACAGTGGCACCTAGTTGTCGCATCACAGCACCCATGACTATGGCCTTCTGTGACCTTTGTGGCCCTATCCTGGTAAGCTTCCGCCTCCCAGTCAGTAGGTAGACGCAGACTGCAGCCGGCTCTGCCTCTCCACCAGGCGTGGAGGCCACCGGTCTCCGCAGTGACAACAGGATGGGACAGGACGCCTCATCTGTCACCAGATCTGATACAACCGTGAGAGGGGGTTGGGGAGGAGGGGCGGGAAACCACCCGCACGCCATCAGGGCAGAGGGTATGGCCACCCAGTCGCTCCTCCCAGGAGAGAATGCAGAGTCTCGGAAAGAACCTCAGAATTTTGGGTCTATACATTATTCAGACTAACTCTCAATCCAGTGCACGAAGTTACAAAAGTGTGTCTCAGTATTAACCATCAAACAAACAAACAAACAAACAAACAAACAGGGAAAGAAAATACTACATTCTGGCCCCACGCAAAGTCAACAGAAAACCACGGAAAGCTCTGTGGGTGGAGCCCTGACATCCCAGCAAGCAGGTGGCAGCCGGTGACGGCAGGCACTTCAGCGGTTCCAGACCCGCTGGGAAGCAGGCTCCTCTCCCTGGCAGGTGGGCAGCCTGGAGCTCACCTGGGGTGCTCCGTGCACAGAGCCCGCAGGTGTTTACGTTCCCTCGGCACCAGGTGTGGGGACGGGGAGACCTACACCAGGTGGAAAACAGCCCAGTGTGGTGGGGACAACTGAACACCAGATTGGAGTGACAGCCTGCCTCCCACAGTACCTGACGTGGTCAGAGAGGTCGGGAAGGTTCTTGAAATGTGAGTGACAAATCCGGGCTGGGCATGGGTGAGGGCACAGGCGGGATTTTCTGGACCTAGAGGCCTACTGATTTTCAGGAAGCGAACAAAGTCCGCTGATTCCTCAGTGGACTTCACTTTTTCACTCTTTAAGGAAGAAATGTGAGATCATGTTTACTTCATAGGGATCACGTCAGACTCTTATTTTTCATTGTTTCTTGTTTCCCACCATGGAAAACAAAAGAAATGGCATTTCTCTCTGAAGGGACACTCTTAGTGTCCTTCCACTGGTGTCAGAGCGGGGCCAGCGCGAGCGAGACGGGCCCAGCCGGACACTGAGCAGGCAGCCCCAGGCTCCCGCTGCCCCTGGCAAAACCTGCACGCCTCTGTGATACCAGAAAACCTAACACCCACTCACACCAACTTACGTCTTTTTAAAACGAACGTGTCCCTGACACACTCCAGCAAACAGCTAAACAGTCATGTTTTAACCAAAAGCCACTGACTCATATTCTTTTGAAAATCGGTGGAGTTCAGTGCAGATGGCAGAGATGAAAACACGGGGTGAGGGACCTGTTACCCAACCAGGGTGTCTCCTCTTCTGGGGACTGCGACAGGGACACCGAGGGACACGAAATCAGCAAGAGGAGATGGGACAGGAAGCCAGCTAACGGAGGGACTGCCAGTTTGTATTTTCACTTGTGCATGCTGAATCTGGAGGACTTGGGCACAGTCCCACAGCTGAAAAATCCTGGTTTTAGGCAGTTGGGTCAGTGTCTGTGGGGTTGGGATAGGTCGGAACTGACCTGCACACCAACAGCCCACAAAAGGTGAGCTGTGGAACCACAAGCAAACATCAGGCCCTAATCGAGTGGGTGGAGCCTCGTGCCGGAGCTTGCCGGGGAAGCCAGGGTCATCCTCGGGACACCTAGTTTCTGCACATGTCAGAGGGCTGTGCCTGACAGCCGTGGTGCCGCCTGGTGTTAGATGGTGAGCTATTGGGAAAGTCATGACGTAGTTTGTCTGTTTTTAAAAGGTCATTTATTTATATAAAGAACAAAGATCAATCAATGCCATATTATCCATTTTGTTTGATAACCTTTTGCCATCTTTCAGTGAGCTTCATAATTCCTTGTTCATAGAAGGACCTGTCTTTATTTGCAAAAAAACTGAACAAGGTGCTGATTTACAGCCTCATCTGAATTGAACGTTATACTACACAAGGAGTTTTGAAGAGAGCGAAACAAGTGGAAGTCTGACGGCACAAGGTCAGGCGAGTATGGTGGGTGTGGCAACACATCCCATCTAAGTGCCAATAATTTTTGACAGGTGATCAGACTTGTGCATAGTCTTGCGTTGTCATGATGGAACACAACTCCTTTACAATTAACAATCTCTGGACGTTTCTGGATGATGGATTTGTTCAAACTGTCCAATTGCCGACAGTACACATTCAAATTGATTGTTTGGTTCCTTGGTAGAAGCTTGAAAAACACGACACCTTTAAAATCCCACCACACTGAGAGCATAACCTCCCTCTGATGAATGTCTGCTTTCGATGTCGTTTGAGGCGAATTATCAGGTTGGGACCAAGACCGTTTGCGCACCACATTGTTATAAACAATTCACTTCTCATCACTAGTTATCAGTCGCTTCAAAAAAGGATCGTTTTCCTCACGTTAAATGAGCATATTGCAGATATTTATATGCGCTGTCAAATGAACTTCTTTGAGTTCATGCGGAACCCAAATATCGACCTTGCTTACGTATCCCAGCTTCTTCAGGTGGTCGTGAACATTTGAATGATGGATGTTCAATGTTTCTGCAATCTCTCGTGTTGTGTAACGTGGGTTTGACTCGATCGATGCCTTTATTTTGTTATCATTCCCCTCGGTGGGCTTCCCTGACCGAGGAGCGTCGTTGAGATCAAAATCACCAGCACAGTATTTCGTGAACCATTGTTGGCACCACCGTTCTTGTAGAGCATTGTCACCGTAACTTTATACAACTTTTCACAAGGTTGATGCGCATTCTTCCCTTTATGGAAGTAAAACAGTAAAACATGGCAAAAATGCACAGTTTGGTCTTCCATCTTCAACTAGTAAAATCTCCAAAACTCAACCAAATTGCTCAGTTTTTTTAGAATGAAGCTAGAACTGTCAACTGTCAAATGACATAGCAATAACATAGATGCGAATGACTCTAGTACTTCCAACAATGAACTAGTGCCATCTGTCGCCAACATGCGTCATGACTTTTCCAACAGCCCAATATTAGCATTAAGTGTGTGTGCGGCCTCCAAACGCTCGGGAGACCGTGCTCGAGTCCATGTCCTTCACGTGGGTGAGGAGAGGGCACAGCACCCGCAACCCTGATCCTGAGGCTTTTAACTTTGAAGCAGCCGCACAGGATGGTCATTATGGTTTTGCTCCAAATTTGGGCTGGAATCCTAGCACCAATGCTGATAAAAATATGTATGTTTAAGTGACATATTTGGCTCCTTCTGAATTCTGTGACGTGTCCATGACCTGCAGACGTGGCAATCTCAGGAAACAGTCAGCACCTTTGCGTCTCAAATAAAAGATTCAGGTCCAGTGTTGGCACCCACCGCCGTTCTTTCCAATAGTGTTTACCTTTCCTTTGTATAAGGAAAAAGCAAGCGCCTCTGACTGCCTGGCTGCCCATCAGACAGCAGGCTCTCTGCCAGGGAGAAAGGTGACATGGTCCCATGGCCGTGGGCACCCACCTGGGAGAGCCGGGCTCTGCAGTCGGGCGCGGGGCCGTGACTCAGGTAAGAGCAGCTGCAGCCTGGTGGCCGATGGACAGCCCGTCATCAGCCAGCAGGACTGTGAAGGAGAAAGCTCTGCACTCTAGGTGCTCATGTAGAAGCTGACCATGGCCTGAGCCACGCTCAGTCCCAGCGCCTAGCCCAGCGCCCCTACCGCACTTGGGAGCCAGCTGGAAACCGGCCCCTCTCCACATTTGGTGTGGGCTCACACAGGGGCCTGGCTCCGGCCAGCGGGGGCTCTGCCAACCAAGACTAGGTGTCAGGTGTGACACAAAAAGGCAGGACACGCGCGAGGTGCCCCCTCTTTCTACCTGGATGTCCTTCCCAACTAGGAACTCTGTGTTGGAAGGAGCTGTCTGCCTCGCTCGGGCAGAACGGGGTTGGCTTATCGTCCTTGGCATGAGTCTTAACGACACTTGTGCTTTTGAATCGTCTTACTTGGAGGCATGAGGGAAAGAGAGCTGGCTCATCGTGACCATGCATTTGATGTCTGAGGCTTCTAACTGTTGTTGGAGTTTTAAATTCTTCTTCCCCATCAGAAAATAGAAACAGAGAGGATGAGCAAGGAAAACAAAAACTTGAAGTGTCTGCCCAAATACAAATCAAGTCTCTCCGTGGGACGGCCCATTTCAGAAAATAGCATTACGTGAAGCAGTGCAGAGGATTTCCTGCAGCCCAATCATAGGAGAACCCTGGAACGCGAGGCTGGGGAAGTGGCCCAGCGATCAGATAGCCTCAACGTCGATGTGACCGATTTCCCAGCATCCACACCTCGCCAAAGATCAGTTTAAACAATTCCATTTTCCATGCCAGTGAGGGAATTAGCCATGGTCATGTGATCCAGTTCTGGCCAACAATCCATGAATTAAATCTGCTACAGGACTTTTAGGAAGGATTTGTGGCCCCTGAGAGAGAGAGATGGGCCATGTGTCCTCCGAGCGCTGCGACGTGTGGGTGAGATGGCCGGATCTCGGCAGCCATCTTGTGGTCATGGGGGAGGCTATCCGAGGACGAAGACAACACAGGGAGGATGTCAGAGTGAGGATTTTGGAGACTGTGTGTTCAGTGACATCACCAAGTCAGTTACAGCTGAGCGCGGCTGCCTCCATCTCGGGACTTCTGACCTGAGATAACCTGTCCCCTCATTGCTTAATCCTGGCAGGAAGGTTTGTCACCACTGGAAACCAAAAGCTTCCTAACTGCTCAAAGCTGAACTAGGTTCCAGCTCTGGGCCGGACCGCCCCTCCCACAGACACCCGTCCGCATGCTCCTCAACCTGACCCAGGGAGGCCCCGCCATCTGCTGCAGGCGCAGCCCCCCAGTGCCCCATTGTTTATCTTCCTGCAGAGCATCTGAGGACGATGTCCTCAGCCAGCACACTTGCTTCTGTTTGGTGTCCCCTCGTGTTCTGCTTGTTGTCGGTTTCCTTCCACCGGAACACAAGCTCCACGGAGGCACACACTTCTGTGCATTCTGTCCCCTGTCCCCCAGGGCCTAGAGCAGCAGTGGCAACGCTGAGGGCATCCAAAGCTTTTCACATAAAAGTGAACGAATGCATGCGTGAGAGAGCGGGATGTCTTTAGAATTACTGAGAGGCCATATCGCTTCTATGCTAAACGATGCAAACTGTGTCACCCAGAGAACATATTCTGTGTGGCCGCAGGGGCAAAGGGGGTGCCCCATCCCAGGCCTGGGTGCTGAGTGGGGACCCCATGGCCTTTCCCCACCAGCAGAGGCCATGTCAGGGGCTGACACTCTGGCCAATTAGAGTGAGGGGAAGTCCACTGGAGGTCAAGGGTCAGTAGGGAGGGCTTGCCCTGCTGCCGAAAAGAGTCACAGTGAAGGCTGTTACGGCTGCACAGGATGCTTCTAGAAACCGTGTCAGGCAGGAGCCCCAGGGCCAGCCAGAAGCAAAGGAGGCAGAGGAGAGAACAGACGGCTTATCACAACGATGTCCTTGAGCTGCTGAAATAACCGGAACTCCCCTTCTCCTTCGGGCCACGTGAGCTGGTAAATCCTGAGGCTGCCTGAGTGTGAGGACCCGTTTGCTGCCATGAAATGCAGCCCCACGTATGCACTCCCTGTCTGGTGTTCCCCAAGCAGAAAGCAAACCCGAGAGACAGGGGGACACGTCGGCTCTTCGCAGCTTTCCTCAGTCCCTGGGACAGCGTTTGGACACCGCTGACAGTCGGCATTCATGATAATGCAGGAAAAAGGAAGGAAGGCAGGCAGGCAGGCAGGCAGGAAGGAAGGAAGGGGATACAAATACAGCAGGGGCCTACGGGGTCTCTTCCTCTGGGTTTAGTTTAATGCTGTTTCTTGAAACTGAAAGAAGAGAAATGTACTCCCTCCTGTAGGCAAAACAGGGACACTGAGAACTGGACACTTTCCTCCCTGGTGGGACACCGGTGCTCTGGGCAGTGAGGACAGGTGACAGGGAAGAGGGCTGACTGCGTTTCTTGTCTGATCTGAGTGTAAAACTGGGGGTAGCTCAGGGGCTCACAGGGCAGCGGTTCAGCCCCGCCGGGGAACCAAGGCCCCACTTAAATACCCAGGGAGCGAGCCAGTTATTAACATGCAGAAACACTTTCCACTCTGGCCTTTACACCCATGCCCAGGGACCAGGAGCCACCTCACGTTCTCGTCCCGCCTGCAGAGCCCGTGCCACACAAGCGCCTGTGACATCCCCTCAGATGCCGAGCCTGTATGGGCTGGCCGCCACTGCACTGGCGGCTGGTGAATGCCGGGCGGGGAACCAAGGCCCCACTTAAATATCCAGGGAGCGAGCCAGTTATTAACATGCAGAAACACTTTCCACTCTGGCCTTTACACCCGTGCCCAGGNAGAAGAGAAATGTACTCCCTCCTGTAGGCAAAACAGGGACACTGAGAACTGGACACTTTCCTCCCTGGTGGGACACCGGTGCTCTGGGCAGTGAGCACAGGTGACAGGGAAGAGGGGTGACTGCGTTTCCTGTCTGATCTGAGTGTAAAACTGGGGGCAGCTCAGGGGCTCACAGGGCAGCGGTTCAGCCCCGCCGGGGAACCAAGGCCCCACTTAAATATCCAGGGAGCGAGCCAGTTATTAACATGCAGAAACACTTTCCACTCTGGCCTTTACACCCGTGCCCAGGGACCAGGAGCCACCTCACGTTCTCGTCCCGCCTGCAGAGCCCGTGCCACACAAGCGCCTGTGACATCCCCTCAGATGCCGAGCCTGTCTGGGCTGGCCGCCACTGCACTGGCGGCTGGTGAATGCCGGGCGTGTGGCTGGCATGGGTGACGTGCTGGCCACCCAGGACCAGCTTTCCACGGGCCTGCGCTCCCAGTTTCCAGAGCACAGTGCCCGAGGACACTGGTTTTACCGAGAGCCAGACAAGGGCCGGTGCCTCTGTCTTGAGGGAATGTCTATGAGCCGGTCACCGTGCTTCCAGCTCCCGGGTGCACGTCCCCGCAGTTCCTCCTCTCGACGCCAAATGGCCACACTTGCATGCTTGTTGGGAATGACTTAGGAAGCAGTCAAACGCTCCTGGTTCAGCTCCAGAGGCGAAGCCGGTGGCTTAATTTGATAACATTTGGGAGATATTTTGATATACTTGTAAATATTTTTATATAAATCTGTGAAAAATCAGAGCTCGATTCATCTAAACAAAAGCTGCCAAACAACTTGCTCACACCATTTCCACGACCAACAGCATGTGTGTCCCAGCTGCTGCTCTGCTGAGAGCCACACGGAGCACAAGGCCTTTCGTATCTCAGACCCCGACGGCCCCAGGGTTGTTGCCTTCAGCTCTTTTTTAAGCGGGGATTTCAGGGTGCACATGTGTTTATACCATAGAAAACCATTCGGGGCAGTCTGTCCCTGCCGCTGTGAAGTGCTGGGCCCCCTCTGCCAGTACCAGGGACAAAGGGGGCCGCGGTTGACACTTGACACAGTGTCAGTGCCGGCCCGGCCCCGGACACCCTGCCCACAGCACACGCTGCCCGCTCCTTCCTGGTGACAGGGGAGGCACGCTTTCCTCTCGTCTCCAATGGTCAAGGCCGCTGGTTTCTGCAGGCCCCTCGCACAAGGAAGTGGGGCGCGGTGGTAACTGGGAGGCTCCGCCCTTCCTACTTCCCAGCCCCACGCCTCACAGCCCCCCGAGAAGGACGTTACCTGGTGGATGTGCCCGGGATGGGGCGTCCGGTGTCCACCAGGACGCACCAGCAGTAGCCCGTGGAGGGGTGGCACTGGACGGGCTTGTACAGGCCGCCGTGAGCACACTCAGGGATCACCACATTGTCGTTCTTGGGCTGCCTGGCCTCCTCCAGGGCCGACTGCTGCTCCTGGTCACACGAGGACACTGGTGAGAGGGAGAGAGAGGCGTGAGCACACAGCCCGGTCAGCCACACAGGAGCCTGGGCGGCGGCGGGGCTGGTAGGACATGGAGCAGGAGGGGAGGAGCCCGGAGCGCCAGGGGCTCCCACTGCCCCTTCTCTGTCATCGGGTACACGTGACGCCCGCATGGGCTCCCAGGCGCAGGCGGACAGACCCAACGGGCGGCCGCCGTCCTCTGCTCCGGGCTCCCCAGTCAGAAGGCACCATGGCCCGTGGCCTCACCCTGAGGAGTCCGGACCGGCCCCTGCTGCCACAGGCCTGCACCCAGTCACCCTCCTACACAGACGGTGGGTGGCTGTGGACACAGGAAAATTCTGGAGCCGGAAAGCGCACATTTGCAAAAACGGGGTTTTGAAGCAGGTACTCACCCCAGACCCCTCCCTCCCAGAGAATCTACAACGGGACACATGTGTAATGCAGAGGTCATGTGATTATCTTCTGCTGGTGAATATCGGTAGTGTGTTGTCTAAAGGACCCTGTGCTGTGCACACGTGATCGCATGCACACACACACGTGATCGCATGCACACACACACGTCCCCCCACACACATGCCCCCCCACACACGTTCCACACACACACACACACACTTTGCAGGTCCTTTACAAGCGAGCTGTATGACATAACTTTTAACTACTGATAACACACAAATAAAAAAAAACTTCTACATTCAGCTGAAAAATCAAAAAGAAGTGAAGATGAGAGTTTGTTAAAAGTACGATTCATGTCAGTAGAGAAAAGTGTCGCTCCTCTGCCCGCTCTTGCGTTTCGATTCAATGTTCACGCGACTTCCCACAGCAGTAATGCTGACCGGACAAGGTGCTGACGGCAAGTGACTGGGGGTGCCGTGGGCGGTTTCTCCGTGGGGCGAGCTTGGTGGGAGCCGTGGGCGGTTTCTCTGTGGGGTGAGCTCGGTGGGTGCGATGAGCGGTTTCTCCGTGGGGTGAGCTTGGTGGAAGCCGTGGGCAGTTTCTCTGTGGGGCGAGCTCAGTGGGTGCCGTGCGCGGTCTGCTCCGTGGGGTGAGCTCGGTGGGTGCCGTGGGCGGTTTCTCCGTGGGGTGAGCTCGGTGGGTGCCGTGGGCAGTCTGCTCCGTGGGGAGCCATCTTGCCCACTGCACACCCAGTCTGCCCTGTGACAACAACACCCCTGGGACCCAAGAGCCCCGTGCAGCCACTCTGGGTCTGAGGTCGGAACGAGTACATGTCCTTCCTGGAGAGCTTTCCCCTCAGTGTCTGGGCCACAATAAAGCTCAACGAGAAAGCAAGTCTTGCAGTTAGTGATGATTCTGGGTGGCACCAGCAGGTGAGGGACGGAAAGGCAGAATGTTATAGAATAACAACGTCTGCCTGTGTCCGGGTCGTTAGTCTCAAGGTGGAAGACGGAGGCCAGTTATCAGCATTTTTCAGCATTTTTCACACATTTTTATTGTGATTGGTGCTGGACCAATAATCATTTTCTACTTCTTTCAGTTTCGTCACTAACTTTATTAAGATGATGCTGAACCACATGGGGTGACAATGCACTGCCTCCCGCCATTTTCGAGCATGCTGACATCAGTCTTAGGCAGACTGTGGGCACTGGGCTGTGTGATCTGAAGCAGGAACAACGTGTTTAAGTGCCGCAGAACGACGCATGTGACTAAGCATCGGTCACCGGCAATGACAATGACTTGCTTTAAAGACAAGCCAGGCATCATCCAATAGCAGCTATTTATGGACCAGAGCAGCTACTAATCACTCAGCGTTCTGTGTGCTAGCGCTGTACTATGTCACCAAATGCCACCGCTTGGGTTTTTAGGGCGTATCGTTTCTGTGTGTGTCCTAGACGAACACAGAAGTGACTGTCACCTTTTAGATTCTCTGCCACATTCCTACCCAGGAAGGATGGACACTGACTTCCCTGCTGTGGCCTCAGAGGCTGACTTCAGCCTCCTGATGAGGAAGAACAGGCTAAACCGCGCGCGGTCTGGGCCGACACTGTGGGGTGATGTCAGAGCCCGTCCATGGGTCATTCGTCCTCACAGGAGATGCTAAAATCGTTTCCATGAGAGAGGAAGGACGACACCGGCCCTGAGGGCTCAGCAGGCAGCCCCCTTCCTGTGGGGGAGCGCTGGTTCCGGTGACGAGACCCCTGGGTGCCCCCGGCTCAGCCTGCAGAGGGCCACACACTGGACACATGTGGTCACGCAGACACCCTGCCCTGCGACCTGGATGTTGAGGACACTGGCTTTCCGTTCTCCATGAGTGTCAGAGCCGTAGGAGCCCCCAGGGCCCTGGGAAGCAGCTGTCTGGGCTGTCCTGTGCTGGAGGGGGGGCTCCACGTGTCTCCCACAAACTTCCTGCGACTTTGGTTACCTGGATCAGAACTTTTTTGTCTCTAAGTTAAGAACTTTAAATATCAAAGTTCCGACACCAAAACAGTCCAGCATTCAAACTGAGCTTGCATCAGCACTAACACTCCAGGGACCGAGCACTCAGCAGGTACCGGATTCAGTCCTCTCTAACGTCCGGCACCGCCCGAGGTGCTGGCAAGACAACCGCGGAGGGATTCCTACACAGCTCATGGCCTACACACACAGCCAACGGCCACAGCGTTTCAGGGTGTCTGTCCCCTCTTGTTAAATTTCATATTGATTGTTTCCTATAAGTTGGGTGCTTTTGAGTATACTCAGGATTTTGCTGAGCACTTGGGTAGATAATAAAGAAAACCTACCCCTGTGTGGACAGTTATCTTAAAGAAAGAGGCTTTCCCCCCCCCACTGTAACTTGGAAACTGGCATGCAGTGTGAATGAAACAATCGGATTTCTCTCTGAGTTGCCAGTAAGTTCCTCTGGCTTCTGTGAAGAAAGCAAGGAAGACGGCCTGAGCTCCTGCTGTCAGAAGCTCCTTGGAAGCCCTCAGGGTCCTTAGTCCCGGAAGGGATGGGCTGCTGCCGAGACGGCTCTGCCAACAGGCACCCCTGGAAAACACACTGCTCACTCTAATGCTGTGCTGGCCCCTTTACAGAAACTTTATTAGTGAACAGGATTTATGGTGCGGTTATCTGGCACAAACATGTTTTCTGTGCTATCCAAGGACATGCTGTATCTATACAGGTAGTTCTGGAAAATCCCTGAAATCTCCCTCTGGAGGACTGTATGTCATATCTGAGGGCTCATCACAAGCAAATTCGGATTGACTGAGTCAACAACCTCCTAGAATTTGCTAAGAATGTCGTAAAACAGAGAAGATATTATGGCCGCGTCAGAAGAAATGCCATGTTTGTTTGTGCAAACATCCTGGCTAATGAGCGCTGCTCACTTATGCAATTTAACTTGGTAAATCCAGTCCATGAGGGCATTCGAGCGTGTTGGAGAAATGCAATCACGTTTTTCTCAGTAAGGGCCGTCATTCAGGAAGAAGGTGGTTTGTAGACAAACTGAGGATGACCCCTGGGGACAGAGGCTGAGATAAGCAGGATCAGGCGCCCTCACTCCTAAGGCAGCCCTGCTCCCCGGGGAGCGACCACCGGGTCTGCACCGGGGCTCACTCAGGCCATGTGACAGGAGCAAAGGGAAGAAAACCCTTCAGCGTGGGTCTCACAGGAACAGAGGCCCCACGCTCCATAAGGAATGTCAATCGCATCTACAAAAGGAGAGGAATCGGGACAAAGCGACGTAAACAAGTCACATGTCCCCACAATATCGGAAGCTTTCAATCACTGAGACACACAGGAATGTGACTTCAAAAAGAAACCCAAGGAGGCAAGTCTCAAGGACGTATTAGAAAAATGTCAAGGAGACCTTATAACGCATTAGAAAAGGGCACAGAGAAAAGGGGGAATTTTTAGTGACTCTAAAAATGGAGACAAGCAGAACGATAGCAGTGAGAATAAGGAAGTGCAGAAGGAGAGACGGTTCAAAGGAATGCGTGACGTTCACGCCGTGGCCAGCCGGGGGCCCGGTAAACGCACAACAGGCAGGTGGGAAGCGTGGGACGGGCTGGATCTGTCGGGGTAACGGAGGGGTCAAACTGAACTTTTAAAACAGGTATAGTATTCAAAGCTCGGTTTGAGTCCATTCCAGAAGAACGGCCATGGGTGTTTCTGCTCCTGCCACAGCCTAACTGACCTGCTGGCACTCTGCGCCCACAGGAAACGTGTCCACGCGTCATATGATGAGCGTGCTGTGCTTTCTTCCACAGCAAACTCTACCTGGGCACTTCTCGGGCCAGGCCGTGAGCTGGTCACGCCTACGGCTCAGGTACCCAGACACCCGGGCTGCACTCCCACTGTGAGCAGACTCCCGAGAAGTAGTCATCAGAGAATTCAGATGAAAACAAACGGCTGTCAGACATTTATGAATTTAAAGAAAAAGAAACTTCTTAAATGATGAGCTCATTAAACATAGACTACTTGATCTGAGTCTGATGATGTCTGAAGCAATAACAAATCACATCCATTCTACAAAAAAAAAAAGAGCTTTAGATCGGGCCATATTTCAGGAAGACGCAAGCTGAATATGTCCGTTTTTCTGGCTAGCTCATCTTCTTAATAGCCTCACATTAATATTTAGGACTTTACTGTTCACTTTGCAACTAGTACAACACCCTGAGAAACTTTTTTAAAAAGCCAGGATTCCGGAAACTTTATTTTTCCATCCCCAGGGCCACCGCCATAGATAGAATGCTGACACCAGCAGCACGTCCCAGGTGCCAGTCACCTGTGGACTCGCTTTTTCTTGGTTGCATGCTTACTCATGTGTTCACCTTGAAAGGACTCCCTTTCTGGTCCCAATTCTCTACAACAGCTTAGCTGCTGTTTGTGTTGTTGGGGAGACCATCACCTGATGTCAACTGGTTGCTTGGTTGATTTTTGTTATTTGCTGAGGGACACTGTGGCCCTTGAGCCACATAATGACCCGCTCTTGGAACATTTTGTTTTCCCAGCCGTACCTCATTCTGCAAGAATGACATAACGTTGCTATTC